GCTACATGTGTGTGTGTGTGTGTACATGCGGGTGGTCTGGAACAGCTTTCGTGCAGCAGGAGCTGCATGTGCAGCATCTGCTGCATGTGCTACATCTGATGCATGTGCTATATCTGTTGTGCATGTGCAGCGCAGGCAATCCACACACCTGCTGCTTTTGCAGCATTGGTATAGGACCTCCAAGCAACAATTAAGTAACCCCCCCCTCCCCCCCCACCCTCACACCCAAGTTTTTTCTTTTTGTTTATGCTCCGAATGACCTGAATTTATTTTTTGTGGGCTCCTCCCATATAGCGCAACGACAGCTTTTTTTTTTTTTTTTTCCTCGTTACTTAAATGAAAAATGTAGTTGTTGGGGATCCCGGAGAACTCCGGTCCTCAACATCCGACGGAGTTGCCGGCTGCGCTGTCCGCCGATCGAACAGCTAGTAACCTAGGAAAAATCCAGTACAATACAGTACAATAGAGAAGAATATCGTAGAGTACAATACAGTATCGTAGAATAGAGTAGAGTGGAGTACAGTAGATAAAAATTATCATAGCGTAGACTACTGTAGAGTAGAGCATAGTGCAGTAGAGTAGAGTAGAGCAAAGTAGAACCCTCTCTTCGAGGACACTCCTATCACCTCCCATAGTAAGTTCCCCCCAGTGATGTTACAAAAAGACAGAAAAAAGAAAAGAATTTACAAAGCGGAATGCCCAAAAATGGACCCTCCTAACCCGCCCTATGTATCTGAATGATACCCATGGAATTGTTGATGAACCCGCACCATGCTGCTGCAAATGCCGAGCAATGTACCACACTTCCCCTCAAAGATTGCGTAGTCCGGGAATGCTGTTCTGAGAGGGATTGCAATTTGCCGAATATCCATCACATCGACTGCACCCAGCACCTTTCCCAAATGCCCCTACTCGGCTCCAGTTCAACATTTCCATATGCCCACAGGGGGCCAACGGCCACCAGTAAGTTGAACTAGTGCCCAGTAAGGGCATATAAAAAAGACACCAGATCCAATAAATATGATGGATGAATTCCGAGAAACAGTATTCACCGGCATTATTTTTCTCCTCCTCTGCCCCTCTCACAAACCGAACAATTGAGGCGGACCTCCAATCAGGTTCCCCACCCTCCAATACATTTTTCATGATGTTCTTCCATCTTCTTCATCTTCTTTTTCTTGCCATTCATCGGCCTTCTTCTTCTTGTCACTCATCAGTCTTCTTCTTCTTCTTCTTCTTCTTCTTCTTCTTCTTTGCCCTTCTCCTCCTATCTGCCTCTCCATCTTCATCTCAGTTTTCGCCGTATTATTCAGTCCGAAGTTGTCCTCGGTCTTCCATGTACTCCTTGTTCTTCTCCTCCTCCATTCCCTTCAATCTTTGGCATGAGCTATGAGGATATACAATTGATGCAGTATGTGCATTGCACTTTACTCCGGTCCATGGTAGTGTGGTACGCACATGGCTCCACCGTTCATGATAGGCTGCAGCAGCTGTAACCACCCATCCTTAAGAACTTCATTGCAGGATGTGGCTGGCCACAGAAAAGTAGCATAGGCAACATCGACACTGCATTTGAATACGAGGTGACAAGAGTGCACAAGCAACAAACATATGGCAGAGTAGAGGGGCTACAGCCACGGACCTTCCACTGCCACCATGCCTTAGGACCCACCTGAGGTGTGACGCCTGGTCTGAGCAGGTGTTATGCGGAATTGCAAAGCCCTCCTAACAGCAACCATGGCATGTCTGAGCCGCAGCCCTGGGTAACGAGTCCAAAACTGAAATTAGGGTTTCGGGGTCAAATTTTATGTTTTTGGGATAAACAAACATCCGTTAAAATTGGAACGATACAGAGAAGATTAGCATGGCCCCTGCGCAAGGATGACACGCATAAATCGAGAAATGGTCCAAATTAAAAAAATAAATAAATAAATAACTAAATAAAAAATTGGCCTGTTCTTGTTTTGGTTCAAGGTTGCTGTGTGCCAAATTCTGTGTTATTTGGAGAATTGGAATTTCCTCTGTTAAGATTTCTGAAATTGAAGTGTTGGCGAAATTTCATGAAAATGCACGTTTGCCTTGCTGTTTTATATGTTTTTTATTATATTTTTTTGGATTTTTTTTTGGCAGCTAGTTAGTATGGTCTCCACTCTATGAATTGGTGGCAAGTTTGATTAAAATGACCCTTTGGTTTTCTTATAAATGGCATGGCAATTGGTCTGAAAATTAGGGTCTCCGTTAACCTTCTCTCACATGTTGAAGAGCCAGTGTCCATCATCCCGGTCTTTTGTGTGTACTTCATGGCCCATCTTCTAATAAGCACATTGACTGGAAGTCTCCACAGGCAATACTCGGCTCACCAGCATGCATGTCTAGCATTGCCTGATGTTATATCCCATGAGTGGGTGAACTCCCAAACTCCTTGCTGTGGATGTGAGTGATCCTTACGCCTGCCTGTGGGTGGGTCGCACGCCTGTGTTTTCTTTTCTGCTAATGATCTATGGCAGTTGGAGTTTATGGTTCGCACCTCACCGTCTGTTGTTCTGTCGTCGTCATAGACTACTCGGGAGTTCTCAGTACAAGTTAACGCCATGTTTGGTCCAGACAGAGCTATAGGGTGCTGCAACTATGCGCACACACTGGTGTTTTGTCAGACGCCCCTTCATTTGGTGGCTGGACATGTCTACGTGTTAGCCTCTTTAGAGCAAGTGTGTGTCAAACAGGCAGATATGTCGGCACTCCCCTCCAAGTACAAAACATAGGGAACCCAGCATCTCCTTTAATTCCTCCCTAAGACTGTGTTTTCTGTTATCTACTTTGTGCGCTCTTTGACCTTTTGCTGTGCTTATCCTGTGTCTAAGTGCACACCTCTAAACCACCAGTACACGATATACATCAGCCGCGGACCCCTTCCCGAGGACGAAACGTGACGCCAGCCGCCAATGTTTTTTTATCGACGGCATGCCGGCCCCAAACTTTTTGAACCAAGGCGACAAATTTCTTTTAGCTAGGCTGGGGCAATGTACTGGCAGTTCAAGATGCGCCTGGTAGAGAGATCTACGGAAAGGATAGCGCAGCTACCAGATCATATAACTGGGTCTCGTAGACACGCCATCAGGATAGGAAGAGGGCAAGCTGCTAAAGATATGTTCGCTCTTTAGTAGCCAGTCTTGACGGAGGGGGACGGAGGGGTCGGATGGTGGTTTAGCGTCAGTGGGATGCTTGTGTTTCTTGAAGATTCTCTGTGGCCTTCGTCTCTGGTTTCAGCCAGAAGTTAAGACTTTTCTATTTAGCAAGTTTTCATCACTAGCACAGTAGTTCTCAGCCAAAGCCCGGTAGGGGCCCGTGTTTCAATGGATCTGCAAAATTTCCATAAGGGACGCTGGGCCTGGTTCCCAGCACTTGTTGCTCCCCACGCATAGACTAGAGCAATGTTTGTTAAAGAAAAAGAAAAAAAAGCATGTGGTCAGAGCCTATTTGTACGGAGAGCCTGCGACACTATTAGAAGGGCTGCTATATTCGGATACGTGTGTGTCTGTGTTTCCTGAGTGACAACAGACATTCATCGCTGCGACTCCCTGGCTCCAACGGTGTTGTGAGCCTACAGTCTGGAGAGTTTGACTTGTGGTGTGAGTAGGACATGAGTCTGCTTCGGTCCGTGCAGTGGTGCCTTGCTGCCTGGCTGCCCTTCCGCTTGCCCTGTGCCGTCAGCTTGTCGGTGCTCCCGCGCTGCTTGGCTGCCGTTTTTCTTACCTTGTGTGTTGCCTCGCTGCCCGTCTGCCCATCCACTTTGCCCCTCCCTGTGCCTTGATGCCTTGTTGCCTTGCTGCTCACAGTGCTACCATGCTGATTGCCTTATCGTTTGGGTGCCCACCCACCTCCCTCATGTCGCCCCACCTATGCGCTCTGCTGTTGCTTGCTGCTCCGTGGCTTGTTGGCTCACCCTCACCTTCCTTCTTGTAGTGTCACTTGCTGGCCCTCGGCTTATAACAGAGAATCAGAGATCACAACTAACAAGTTAGAAACAAATCAACATGGGGATTCTACAGACTGTCAAGGGCCCAGCCTCCTGACGAGTCAGTGCAGGTCCAACGAAACAGTCCAGATTCCAGAATGATCCTTGTTCTTTCGTTCTTACCTACCTTGTCTCCATTTTTTTCCTATCGTTTTCCAGGTGGTTCTTTACGATGTTGTTTGGGGCCTTGCTTTAATGAACCATGTGCAGGTCTGTGTTCCTTGCTCGTACAGCACCTCTCAACCGGGCACAGCTCGCTGCACTACGAGTGTCGCAGTCTGTAGCCACCCACCCACCCACCCACACCCACACCCACACACACACACACACACACGTGCAGGTATGTATGCACACATAGGAGTACTAGAAGAGAGGAGCAGACAACACAAGCAAACCAGGCTGTGGACAGATAAAAAAAATCAAAGTAAAAAAATATTCCAGGAGAGCAAGAAAGATCCACGAAGCAACTACCATCAATAGAATCAACGCAAAATAATTTTTTTTTTCTTTTTCTTTTTCCTGATAAGACAAACTACTCCCTTTCACTTCTCCGGGTACCACTGGGCCATTCTCTCCCCCGTTCGTCTGTGTCTCTCTCCCTCTGCCTATACTTGTGATCTCCAGTGACTCTGTCTCGACTTCCACCTTCTGTCCTTGAGCTGGAGTACCCTCTTGAATGTCCATGTGACCTTTCATCATCCAAATGATATCGCGAGCTGCTACGACGCTGCTCCTGTCGACGTCCCTCGGCCCCCTCCTCATAAAGACAATCATCAGACCGTCGTTCACTTCCCCAATCATCAGATTGCCTCCAATTTGGTCCATCCCCTCTCCGGCTACCTCTGTGTTCCCTAGCAGATTCCCTTTGCTCACCTGAATCCCTTCCCTCTGCCGCTCTACACGGTGTCGTTACACTACCGGTTCCGGAGCTCATAGCCTTGTTTGATGCCATATCAGTTGCTTCACGATCAGTAGAGAGCAGTACGGACAACTCGCTGCCAGAACCAGAGCCTCCCACCCTCAGGTACTCCATGTGGGTATCAATGACATCACGCAGAACCTGCACTTTCAAATAAATGAAGCAGCAGCACCAAGAAAGAAAACAGACAAGGATTTAAAAAAAGGAGCAGGGATTCAAAAAGCACACAACTTTACAATGCAACACAACAGTGGACTACCAAAATCAATAATGCTGGAGACTTCAGAACAAGGCCATTTACTGAACTTTCACAGGCAATCCTACGACCAAAGCACAGCCGGGTCAGACCTCCAAGGCGACAAAGAGCAGAATGCAGTGCAGGTAATGCGTATTTTGACAAAGCTGCACAAAACAGGGGGGTCATTTATTCATGACTGACAGGGTACAAATTGACACCCGCATTTTTTTTTTCTTTAAAAGAAAGAAGAAAAGCAAAAGACTCCTGCCAGGTGTACCTGCCCTGCAGGTGAATGGCACATTCGTTTAACTGTTGGTAAGTTCAAGTTTTTTTTTCGATGGACGCAACAATAATTAGGGGGGGGGGACATCCCCCTTCAAAAAGAAGACTAAGTTTAAGTTTTGATGGATGCAACAATAATTAGGGGCCATCCCCCTTCCAAAAGAAGACCCCTGTCTGGTTTCTACTTTCCTACCTTACAATAGCTTCTAAGCTTCGCCCCCCAGTACTGTACCAATCTGCAGTCACTCCCCGATAAAGTGGTCTCTGCCAGGGTCGTAGACCCCCAGAGCCCCGGACCCTCTGCTGAGGTCGGGGGGTGGGATGCCTAACCCCGGGAAAGGACCCCTGACCCCGAGGGTTGGGGTTCGGAGAGGGGAGTTGAAAAGGAAGTGGCGGGTGCACCGCAGCTGCGCCCACCAGTGGGGTTTTCCCTGTGTTTGGCGGTTTGGAGACCACCTCGAACTACCCCGCTGCATGGTGACAGCTGGGCACCAGTGCAGACTCGCGGTTGTGGGGGCAGGGCTGGGGCACATGGAGGCAGAGGAAATCCCGCACAGTAGGGCCAGGCGACCCGTTGTTTTTTTCAGCCCCCCAAAACCCTACCCACTCCTTATCCACGGTTCCCCGCATTTCTGGCCCCAGGGAATACGAGGAGGCACTTTCCCCGATAACAAAAACAGGACCTCGGCTGTCCCTGCGTCCGTCCCCAAATGAACCCCGATCCCGGCTTTCTTGAGGCGACCCCTGTGTGACAACCCTGCTCTGTACAACAGTATTGTGAGATAAAAGAGTTTTAACAGCAAGACAAGATGGGAAAAGATTGGAGGTATTATAATCTCCCAGAAACAAGAGATGAGTTCAGTCTCTGAAACCATTTACCTCCGTCGGTGTTTGCTTGGTACTTTTTCCTCGATAAGACACACGCCTGCGCTTGTAGTCTCTTTCCTCTGCCAGCAGCTCCTGTTTCGTCAGAGAACGCTGCGCCTTCTGTTTGGAATACAGAACAGATGCGGCCAAGCTTCAGAAAAAGGGTCAACAAAACATGCATTCACTACTGTCTGCAAAATGCCACCTAGAGTCTCATTCGCACAAATAATAAGGTTCATGACAACAAAGACCAGTTTGAGGGGTGGCATTGCCACTAAGGTACTGCCTTTTCAATCACAACCGGAACACGGACATCATTTGAATCCCCTCGATAAAACAAGCACATGCTGATTACAGGTGAGCATGCAGATTGTGCAGTGGTGTCCTTTGCAGCGAAGCGAACATGCTATGCCTGGGCGAAGAGGGTGTGCATACAAAGGAGGAGGGATACTCTGCACATATGGTTGCGGAAACCATTTCCTGGTAGTGAGCCTAACAGCAACGATGGTATTCACAGCGAACGGTAATTGCACCTGTGTTGATGCATGCACAAGGGACGGTCACAGAGCACAGCCACGCATCCCTGCTCTGCCACGGAGGACGACAAGTGATCAGCATAGAACAGTGTGTGGACGGTGTTCTTGGGCAGGAGACATGGACCATCGTGGATAAAATCTTGTGCACACACTGCACTGTTCATGAAGCCCCACAGTTACTCCCCGTGTCAGTCTATAGCCAGTGAGAGTCCGGTCAACTGACCACATTCATTAACTAGTGTAGAGTTGTAGACAGCATACCCCACCCACGCATAGACCCCCTCGGCACGATGAGCTCTGCAGTCTCGCTCTGCAGTCTCGATGTCTGAGGATCGCCCTCCTGTCCCTCTATTTTCTTCAATCTGTGCCCCAGCCACACTTGGTCGCAGAAACTTTGCCCCTCCCTCTAGCGATTTCTTCTCTGTTCCCTGCAGCGTGATCATCCCCTGCTAAAGAGTTGGGAGCTCCGCATACATGCACCGCATGTATTTACTATTTAATAACTCGCCAACGGTTCAGTCGACGATTCATGACTCGACCATAGGAATGGGGCAGGACGTTCAGGGTTTGGGCGATCACCTGGGCGACCTGCAAGTTGATGACTCAAGCGCAGCAATGGAGCATGATCGTGGCAGTGAGGTGCACGATTGCTAATCCCATTTGACTTTACAGTTGTTCGGAATCTCCCTTATCTTCTTCGTGGTCTGGTGCTGCTACTCCTGCCACCCTATCGGATCCTCGGTGTAGATGACTTACGACTTCTGGCCAGTTGTACAGCACTCTTGACACCAATCTCACCTGCCTAAGCTCAGTAGGGCGCGAAATAAACTATTTAAAGGGGCTTCCCTGTCAGTTGTGGGACCACCAGCTCAAGTTGTTTGCTCGTTATGGTGAGAAACTTGAGTGCATCAGCCTCACATCTCTGCGTATTTATGCGAACAGAAACTACCGTATTTGCCCGAACAGAACGCCCGGGCATTACAGCTGTATTTGGAACAACTTTCGGTCCAGATGCAGCGATAATGACCGGGCGTTCTATTCGGGTGAAGAAGGTAGTGAGTGATCATCAAAGAGGGAAGAGGGAGAAGTGTAAAGGAGGAGTGAGAGGTGGACGGATGTGATGGAGAGTAGGAGGATAAAGGTCACTAGAAGAAGGGTTGTCAGGGACAGAGGAAGACAAAGCGGACATGGAAGCCAGACTGCAGACACACTGAGCGGAGCGCGACATCAAGCCAGAGCATTGAAGGATGCTGAGGAGGCAGGAGCTGGATGTGATCAACGCCAGGGAAAGCAGGGAAGAGGCCAGAAACAACTGAGGTGCGCAGTGAGGGTAAACAGACGGGGGGAACGCAGAGACAATGGATAAGACAGAGACAAAGGGGGACGTGACGGGCACTTGCCAAAGCTCTCAGTGAAGGACAGGACTTGGGCAAACACAGAACCTCGGAGGAACATCATCAATAAGGCAATACGTCAAGTGCAACATAACTGCTGAGCAACACGAAGCTCACTTTGACAAAAAGCTCATCAGTGAAGAAGCAAGCATCGCCTCTCTCTCTCTCTCTCTCTCTCTCTCTCTCTCTCTCTCTCTCTCTCTCTCTCTCTCTCTCTCTCTCTCTCTCTCTCTCTCACACACACACACACAC